CTTCAGCTTTTCACTGGAAAACTGAAAAGTTTTGGCCCAAAAACTAGACCACAAAAAAAAAAAAAAAAACCAAAGCAAACCAAGGTAATTTTGCAATTTTTATCTGAATTATTGGTTATTGGCTAGAAAAAAAAATCTGAGATTTTTTTGTTTTATAAATTTTTTAGAGGAAAACAAATATTCTCTGCAAAAATTTTCATTTTGTCAAAGCTCCACTTTTCTGTCGAAAAACAGGTTAGATGGAAAAATTTTCAGGCGGCCTTAGTTATATCTTTAATGTTTGTTAAATACCTGGAGAGTCACTATCATTTTCTGAATATTACAGTGGGAGGTTACATAATAGGCCTAATTCTTTGTCCTTGTGCCTATTCATCCGATACCGTCTTTAATCCCATGATCTCATACTACTACTCAAACATCATAAAATGCCATACAGTTGTTTTTACCACCTTCGATGTGTTGTATCTTGTAGTGCTGTGTCTGCCAGGGTTCATGCCAACCCTTCATTGGAAAGTCTAAACTTAGCCAGACTTTTACAACATTCCATATATTATGTATACAGTCAAAATTAATTCGTTTAAAAAGGCCTCCAAATTTGCAGCCGAGTTAGATTTTGGCTGCCCCTCGGAAAGCTTGTACTGTGCATGTATCAATAGCTGAATTGCTGTCACAGACAACAGGCTTCATTTAGCCTATTTAACATTTTATCTTCTGCAGTGCTGCCAACACTTATCCAAATGCATTGATCAGGAAATTGGGCACAGGTAGAGGCTAAGATTATGAAATTTGCCTAGGAGATTTGGCTGTCCAATTGCCATTAATGCTGTGGAAATCTCAGCCGTGAAGTCCCCACTCTTTTCTCCACTGTCCCAGTTATGATGGTCTCACTTAGAAAGTTTGAAAAACTCTGTCCACAACCGCACCCCTGAATTCATGCCCCCAGCTGTATCCTGCAAGGAACACAGTGAGCATGGGGGGGGGGGGGAAAGAGGGAAATTGTATACTGCCACAGTGCAGAGGTGTGAGCCAGAGGTGCACAGCGCCATACCAGCACATGGCTTAAACACTGTACTTTACTCAGAAACCTGCAACACAAAGCCGCTGGGCACCTTCACAACCATTGCTCTGGTTCTAAAAATTCAATTAAAAAAAAAAAAAAAAAAGCCCAAACTTACAAATTCGGGGATAAAGAGGAGATCAGGAAATGTCGACAGGACCGAGAAGCCGGTAGGCAAGGAGACTGCAGCAGCTGCTGACGACATCTTTGTCCTTTCAACTGCACCACCTGAGAGACACTGGTTCTTGCAACTGGAAGGGGCTTTCAAATGCAGCCTCCTCTCCTCCCTCCCTGAGGCAGGTGAACTCTTGACTGATCAGATGGTTGAATGCGACCTGCCTAGAGGCAAGGAGCTAACATAGGTGCGGCCAGCTAATTTAACAGACTTGCCTGTTGTGTTTATAAGCCCTGGGAGGAGACTGCAGAGCGTTAGATTTTAACTTTCCCCTAGCGTCATTAGATACACGTCATTAGAGCTCCTGGGCCAGGCAGAGTGAATAGTAGAGACCCGCTGGCCCAGACGCTGCTGCCTGAGCTAGCACTCAAAGGATGGGGCCCAGATCCTCAGCTGGGGTAGAGCAGTGTCATTCCATTGACATCAGTAGAGCTATGCTGATTTACACCCACGATGGACCTGGCCTGGCTTTTGGCCAGTGCTCCAGAACTGCCTCCACAGCCGCTCCTGTGAGATTTCTGAGGTTTCCAGGGTCCCACCCACGGCAGAGTCCAGTCAGGAGCGGCGTCAGGGTTTTTGCCGCCCTAGAGGAGGAGCGCTGCTGCCTGAGCATTCAGGGGGTCTGGGGTCTTTGGCGGGGGGGTCCTTCCGCTCCACGTCTTCAGGGCACTTGGGCAGCTCCCGGAGCGAGTGAAGGACCCACTGCCGAATTTTTGCCAAAGACCCGGAGCGGAAGGACCCCCTGCCTCCGAATTTCTGCCGAAGGCGGCAAAGTGCCGCCCCCCAAATCCTGCCGCCCTAGGTGACCGCCAAGGGTCACTTAGTGGAAGCGCCGGCCCTGAGTCCAGTCCCCCACTGCAATTGCAAACTCCTCAGGTGTTTCCCTAGCAAACGGACATGGCTTGGCAGAGCTGGGAACAATCCTACACTGGGAGAGGAGAGGATCCAGGACTCCTGGTTTTAACAGTGAGAGCGGCTGACCGGTGCGACAAGTCACCAAGGGAGGTGATGGGTTCTCCACCGATGGGCGTATTTAAATCAGGACTGTTGGTCTTTCTAATAGACACATCCTAGGCTACCCGTGGGGCAGAGACTTGGTGCGGGATTCACTGGGGGGGCTTCTCTGGCCCGTGCAATACAGGGGGTCAGACCAGGTGATCTAATGGTCCCTGCTGGTCTTAAGATCTGGGAATCTAGAGATGGGTGCTGCACCAGTTCCGGCTCCACTGGGCAGCTGTAGACCCCCTTTTACTCCAGCACTGGGGGCTGCCTGGTGCTGATAGTGGCCAAGGTGCAGCTGGGGAGCAGTTCTAGCGTGCATGGTGCGAGCTGCCCAGGAAGGTGTTGCTTTGCAGCATGCCAGCAGCCCCTAACTTTGGGGAGGGGGGATAAACTCAGTCCTGTCTTTAGAGGACAAGTGCCTTTGTGGGAACAGCTGGGATAAGCCACATTCCCTGGAGCATGGGAGGAGCGGCCCAGCCTGTAGCGATTCCTCGCTGGGCTGATCTCGGACCAGGTCTTTGGGCAAGCTGCCAGCTAATGGGCCAGGCCCCTGGCCAAGGCGGCCCTGTGATTGCGTTAGGATAGTGACTCAGCAAAACTCTGGGTGGAGGCCCGGGGCAGGGCTCATTCCTCCTTGGGGAGTGCAGCTCAGCTGCCTCTGCGAGGCGGAGCCCCTGGAGGGCTAGTGCAAGTGCCCTGAAAATGGGCATGTCAAGGGGAAGGGGCAATTGAATGAAGTCCTTACCTAGTTTATGGGAGCAAGGAAAGGGTTAACAGCTGCCACAGTGATGGGGCACAGATCCCACTCCTCTCCAGCCACAGAGCAGGGTGTACTCACCAGCCCGGAGTGGCCAGTCCCTGGTCCTGAGGAGAGCCAGGGCTGGGGTGAGGTGAAAGGCAACCAGGCCTGGAGACCAGAGGCCTAGGTACCAGGTGAAGACAGGACGTAAAGGGACCAGATCGGCACGGATCCATGGGGTCTGCAGCCTAACTCTGGTATCAGCAGGCCCCAGCATCCAGAAAGGAATCAGGTCCCCAGACAGAGACCGGCTTGAACGTTTCCAAACTGACAAACGTTGGGTTGTTTATTGGCCTTTCCGTTTTGGAGCCTTGGTGGGGAGGGGTCACGTTTTCAAGCCCTGCTCCACAGCCACAAGGGCTAGACCCAGGTGTGTTCAAACAGAAGTTGAGATTCTCACGTCGTCACAGGACTGCACAAGCTGGGACTCCCAGAAACACACCAACTCTCACGAGACAGGAGGGGGCAAGGCTGGTGCAGACCCAGCTTCTTGACCTTGGCACCTTTCAGGTCCGTTAGTGAAGTTGTGTGGAGGGGTCTGTCTGGGGAGGGCCTCCACAGGGGAATGCGATGAGCGTCCGTTTAGTTCTTGGCAGGCAGATGCCTAAGAGTCCTTTGCAAAGACTCAGAGCAGTCAGAAAGCAGAGCTGGTCTGTGCCCGTATTGCCCTGGTTGACACTGCTCAGACGACATGCAGGGTCACTAAACTGATGTCGCTTTTGTATGTTACATGACGACCGTGAGGATGGGAGACTGTTTCTTTCAATCTGTCGTAGGAAGCCAGGCCGGGGGTGCGAGGGAAATGCGGAGGAAGTAGTTCTTCCAGGGCAGTGGTTTTCAAACTTTTCTGGGGACCTAGTTGAAGAAAATTGTTGATGCCTGCGACCTAACGGAGCTGGGGATGAGGGGGTTGGATTATGGGAGGGGCTCTGGGCTGGGGTAGAGGGTTGGGGGTGAGGGCTGTGGGGTTGGACCAGAGTTGAGGGGTTCAGGGTGTGGGAGGGGGCTCTGAGCTGGGGTGCAGGAGTGGATCAGGGCTCTGGGATGGGGGTGCAGGGTCTGGGGGTGGGGCCGGGGTGTTTGGGGTGCAGGAGGGGGCTCTGGGTTTGGGGGGACTCAGAGCTAGGGACTGGGACATGGGCTTATCTCAGGCAGCTTCTGGTCAGCGGCACAGCAGGTGTGCCAAGGCAGGCTTCCCACCTGTCCTGGCACCGCAGACCATGCTGCACCCAGGAAGCGGCCAGCAGCAGGTCCGGCTCCTAGGCGGAGGCATGCAAGCGGCTTCACGTGACTCTCGCCCGCACGCGCACACACCCCCCACTTTCTATTGGCCAGGAGCAGGGCCGGCTCCAGGGTTTTTGCCGCCCCAAGCAGAAAAAAAAAAAGCCGTGATCGCGATTGGCGGCACTTCGGTGGCAGCTCTACCGCTGCCACTTCAGCGGCAATTCGGCGACGGGTCCTTCCCTCCGAGAGGGAGTGAGGGACCCGCCACTGAATTACTGCCAAAGACCTGGACGTGCTGCCCCCCTCCGTTGGCCGCCCCAAGCACCTGCTTGCTGAGCTGGTGCCTGGAGCCGGTGCTCAGGGTGGGGGCAGCGCACAGAGCCCCATGACCGCCCTGCCTAGAAGCCAGACCCACTGCTGGCACTTCCAGGGCGCAGCACGGTGTCGGAACAAGGTAGGCACTAGCCTGCCTTAGCCAGGTAGCACCACTGCCAGGACTTTTAACGTCCCAGTCGGCGGTGCTGACCAGAGCGAACCAGTGCCTGACATGCTGCCACCCAGTACTGGGTCACAACCCGAACTTTGAAAACTGCTGTTCTAGGGTTAATCTTGATTTTCTCCTTCTAGTTCATTCCTGAGCAGAACAAAGAAAAGGACATTGATTCTTTAGCACATGACAAATACCACAGGATGTGAAAAATTGACAATAAGTAAATGTATTTTTAAGAGTCAGTTTTGAATGCAACTTTGAAGTACTGCAATGGGGTGTCCATGTCCAGACCTAGCAAGACATTAATTGTTTATTAGCTACCTGTCAGGAAACCTGGCAACTGATTATTAAGAGGATTTGTATGACGCTGTAGCTAGTGGGTGATGAAATGGGCTTTTGTTTAAAGGTGTCACACTGCAGCCAAGATGCATTAGTTAACGAATTTAGGTCTATTTAACCTAGCATAATTAAATATACATGAAGCCAACCTGTAATTATGCTAGCGTGGGGCATTATGGATTTGCTAGACTATCTGGCCCAGAACCCCAGCCTGGTTGCACGGGGTTAGTGCTAACAGGAAAGCGCGCTGTACCATGAGTCTCTCTGCTCATTGCAGAGAAGGTCTGCAGCATTCCAGCACTGAAGCGCCCGGGTCGGTGCTGACAAGATGAGAAATCTCACTCAGGGTTCCTCTGCACAGGTCTGATTATTCATTACACAAAGCCAAACCCTGACCCCTGCTCCAAGCCTGGCTCATTGGGATCAAGCACCTATTGCCCAGGTGGTGCTGAGGATAGAATCAAGTCAGTCCACCCTTTCCAGACTGCATAGCACCCGGAGAACTGCTATGACTGCGACTACAGCCTCAGCCAGGCTGCTGGCAGACTCTCCTTACATGGAGCGATGCCTCAGACCTGGACCAGGGAGGCACGCCATCACCCCCACCCTGCCCTCACCACACACAAAGCCGTGACGATTCATCTCCATGATTAGCATCCCCGCAGAGTGACTCCTGTCTGAGACCTTCCACGTCTCAGCTGCAGGATCAGGCCATTAGCAGTAATTCCACTGACCAGCAGAATTCTCTTTCATTAACACCCCTTAAAAATCACCAAACCACTGCATACTGCAAGGAATCAATGAGACCTAATGGCTATTAGCCAGTGCCCTAATGTTACACCATCTGCATCGCCTCATTCACCTAGAGGCCTGGGGGTGAGTGAAAGACCCACAATATTTTGATGGAATGGATCACAATCATTGAAGTGACTCCAGGAAAGTGGAAAAAGCCAATTTTCTGCTCACCTTTGAGTGGAGCAACACAGCCCCCTGGCGGCCTGTTCAGTTACTCACAGGCACGTCTTGGGAGAACAATTCTACAGGCCACCTGCCAGGGCCCAGGGGTCGGCAGCTGTGCCCTGCCCCGGCTGGTCTCTCGCGCAGGGACGAGAACACTGCTGTCGCACCCTCCCGCGCTCGGCCTGCTGTGGGAGCTTCGTTCTGTAGGCCCGAGTCAGCAGCAGATCTTGGCATCCAAGAGTCACTCCTCTGCAGGGTATGGGCTGACTTTCCCCAGTGACCCAGCCAAGAGAGAGGGTCAGCATATTAGTAGCTTAAAGCTTATTCCTCCCTCCCCTCCACACACACACACACACACACACCGCTGCTGCCTCTTTAGCACAAAGACACCCTGCCCTGGTCACAGCTCCTGCCACCAAGGCCCTTTGTGCATTACACTGTCACAGCCACTGCAGTGCTGGGCTGGGCCGGGCCAGGCCAGGCTCCCAAGCTTCTGTCTACATGTGCCCCATCTGCCCCTTGGCAACCCTCCAGCCTGCCTGGTTCTCCACCTGCCCGCTGCGGCATTTCCCCCTCATGTTTCCGCACCAGGGAGACAGAGACAGAATTATCCCAAACGAGATGGCCTATGGTATTAGCCACGTAACTTCACGCACCCTGGGATCTCTAACGAACAAGGAGTCTGACTGTCAATAGGAGAAAGTGTTTCTCTCACTCAGACTGTGTTGTCCTTTTGAGACCAGACCATCTGTCATAGGGCAGAGCCCCTTCCCTACCAGCAGGCTACAGCAGAACAGGTGCACCTGCCTCAGTTTCCCTCCTTCAGAGTCCCCAGTAATTCGATGACAGCTCTCATGCCAGGATCCTAACAAGGGCAGTCAGGCCCAACAGTCAGAGCAGGGTCAAACCTGAGATAGTTGTAGCCAGGAGTTCGCAGTCAGGTTCCAGGGCAGCATCAATACCCAGGGTCAGCGGCTGAGTCAGGTTTCAGGGTCTGGATCAGGGTCAGGAGGCAAAGTCCAAATCAAGCCAAGGTCAAAGCCAGGACTTCAGGAGCAGAGATGATCATGGCAGCTACAAAAGACCCACACTATTACCTGGATACTTTCCCAGAACACCCCTTGGGGTTATATAGGGCAGGGAGCCAATAAGGGCCATGCGGCTGCTGCCCGTCAGCCCCTTGAGGCGGGACTTCCCATGATCGGTGTCCACAGGGGGTCATCAGCAGTGGAGTGACACTAGTTACAGCTGCTGTGGATAGCAGCATGGTGCTGCTTGCTACCTAACACCCTTACAGGCCTGGGTTCTAGCCCTGCTGGGCCTTGGGTTTTGTAGCTAACAATAGCCCTCCTTGGGGCCAGTTTATTACTCATCCCTGGTGTAAAGCCTCCATCCCAAGGAGTCCCAAAGCATCTGCCATTTGTCCCCCCCATGACTGCAGTCCTTACAATCCAATGGCTAGACTCTTTGTTGGCCCCTCAGCCCTTCCACTATTTCAATAGGCAGTGGAGGTGTGAGGAAAAGGGTTAAAAGTGTAGGAACGTAGCGCAGTGGAGTCTCCTATAAATAGAGCAGGGGATGCCACTGCAGAGAAGTGCTGCATTATTGTGACCATCTCAGAATAGCTGCCAGATCTGTTACTGTGACCATCTCTGCAGGGGCCTCTCAGTGGCACTTAAGGAAGAGGAGAAAGACTGCACCTCAGCTGACTGACTAGTCCCGGGCACGAGGCCACATGGGGCTGGCATCAAGTGAGTCTCAATCTTGGCTTCGGGAGCCTTTTAAAAAATAGTTATTGATCGGGGAGGTGGGAGTGTTGAGGACTATCCTGCAATGTCCCCTTGGAGATCTGAGGATCTCCTCACTTCTCCCCCCAAATCACATCCCCCAACCTGAAGGGGGACAGAGGAACAGGAGTCCAAATCTGAGCTCACCAACCTCCCCTCTGAGCAGGCTCAGGCTGGATGTTCTGCCTCCACAACATGCCTGGACATCCCAGCAGGGCCATAGCAAACCGCCACTGGATTCACACCTGGTTCAAGACCCTTTTCTCTCTCCAGGCCTCCACCTGCTCATCGAACTGCAGAGAAAGCAAGTGCCGATTGAGCTGAGGTGAGAGGTGTTCCCAGTGGAGAATCTGACTCACTGTTACAATGGGGCTTCTCCAGCACACCATGGTTCTGTTAAAGGCGCGTGTGCCAGAGCTCTCGTCAGAGCATCTAGAGACAATGCCCACATGGTTATGGCTGAGGGCCCCCTGCCGTGGGGAACTAGAGCACAGAGTGATGAGGTTCTTTGTGGATTTCCCCAGAGAGGCTTTTCCTGCAGGTTTGAATTTAGAAATAAAGATGAAGAACCTTCCCTTGGTTCTCTCTGTCTTCTCATTCCTCTCTGCCAGGCCTTTGGCTGTTTGTCTCCCTGCTCCTGGACAAGGCACAGCAAAGGTGCAAATAGGAATGAGGTGAGCAGGATTTTCTGCAGAGAATGGGAAGCAGACAAAAGGTCACAGAGATCAGAGATGCAGAGGATGTGAAGATCATCCAGTCTCTCTCCATGATTATGCGGGACTGCTACCTTTGGTGCATTTCAAGTCTAATTGTAAAGTCCCAAGAGATGGATAGGGTTAGGCCCTCCTTCACACACAGCCTGAGAGCTCAACCTCCGGATACGTCTCCTGAGATTCCATTTCCTCATCACATCCTGTTATTCCTTGTTGTTATCGTCGTCCAGCCTTGCCCTGGGAAATCTCTCTCCAGCCATGGGGAGAACATCTTCCTCCACAAAAGCACCTAGCAAGTGCACCATGCCAACAGCTCCAGTACAGCACTCACAGGCCAGTCCTCCCAGAGACAATGGGGCAGTCACATTCATCCCACTGAGCCTCACAAAGGCGGGGGGGGGGGGCGAATTCTGTGCAAACAGGGAAGCGAGATCCTTAGAACTAAGTTCCTCATGAAAGCTTGTGTTGTTTCACAAAATCCCCAGCCACCGCAGCTGCTCCTTTCCCATGCATACGACGGCAGGAGTCAGAGGATCCGAGGGACTCTCCCTGGGGGGAGATGCTGCAGCAGTGGGAAAGGGAGCCCTCAAAAGCCATTACAAACAGGTAATTTCTACTTTCTTCCCCACTGACGACAATGGGCCTAATTCTGGAAGAGCTCTATGCCTACAGGTGAGAAGAAAGCATGGGGCATATACAGAGGATGTGCTGTATTTGAAGTAGCATGTATCATATGTAATAAATGACTGGGAATTTCAGGTACACAAGGAATACAGGGCAAAGCCCTAAATCAGAAAGCCAGATTCAAAGTGAAGCACCTTGGGCCAGTAAAGGACCTTGTTACTGGGGACAGAAGCCCTCCCCATGCCCTCATCAAACCCAGTGGGTCAGTGTTCGAGACCCTAAAGCTGCAGGGAGGGGAGAGGAGAGCCAGAGGGTCGTGGAGCAGCTGGGTCAGGTCTGTTGTTGTTAGATGGCACTGGGAGCTCCCTCCACCCCACATGGGAACCCAGAGGCAGCACCACAGTTAGGAGAGGGACCAGAGAAGGGTTTAATACTGCGTATGTCCCAATGCAGCAGGCAGGGTTCCAACCATCAGCAGGGACTAGTTCTTTGTATCCTTAGTACTCCTTGTGCACTGAGGTTAGTGGTGTCTATTTCTTGTTTGCTGTTGTTGCCTTATGAATGACAAAGTCATTAATACCTCCTGATGGCTATGTGCTCTCGCTCGTTATGCTGGCTGGGGGGTCCCCACAAACCAGGAGCCTTGTTCTCCTCAGGACTGCAGAACTCTTGCTGTCTTGTTTCTAACCTGTAGCTGGAATGATTCACCCTCCTCTCTGGGCTTGGGGGGTGGGGGTTACAGGGTGAGGAGCCAACAGGCACTGGTGTTTCATGGTCTCCTTCAGGACCCTGAACCTCCCAGCTGGTGAGTCGCCGAGTCCAGCACCAGCTCCCACAGGACAAAGGAGCTGCCCCGCCAGGAGGTCGCTGCCAATACGGACCGTCTGTCTGCGTGAGAGGCGAGCGCGTGCACTGGGCTGGCTGGGGAGTGAATGCTCAGCAATGACCCAGTGCCCTTGGCGTGGGATTGCTGCTCACATACGGGGCTCTCCTATGTGCTAACTCACTGGGAGTTTGGTGCGTGGAATGACTGACTCGTGGGGGGCTTGCTGGCCCCTTGTGCTGCCTCATCTGGGTGTGGCGCCTACCTGTTGGGTCCTGTCTGCGACCCAGACTGACAGGTCTTCGGGGCAGGGCCTGTCTCTGAGCTTTGGGTTTGTGGAGCACCCTGGTGCTCAAGCACCCACCACACTGGAATAACAAGCAATAAACACAGACCCCATCACACTTGTTCTTATGCTAGTGGTTCTGGTTGAGTTGGGACCAGGGCTTTAGGCCAGAAGGTCTCAAACTGGGGGTCATGAGCCCACGAGGGTCACGAGGTTATTACATGGAGGCTTGTGAGCGGTCAGTCGCCATCGCCAATGTTTATAATAGGTTTAAATATAATTTATAAGGGGGGGGGTCGTCACACACGGAGGCTGGCTGTGTGAAAGGAATCACCAATACAAGTTTGAGAACCACTACTCTAGGGGATGGTGGGTGCTGAGTCCTTCGGGCCACGCTGGCCTGAGTGGGGCAGGTAGAGTGGCTAGGTGCCAGGTTTTCAACCAGAAAGTCCAGTTGAAAAGGGGACCCGACAGTGTCCGGTCAGATCTACTGACCAGACACCCAAAGTTCAGTTACTGCGGGCAGGGGAGGCGGGTAGGTGCTGGGTCATCGCCCATGCCAGCCCCTACTCAGCTGGGGCCACCTCCTACCTGCATCAGGCAGCTGCAGCTCCCAGCCCAGGCTCTGCAGGAGAGTCCCTGCTGACCCGGGCAGGGGGTGGAAGGGGAAAAACAGCGAGCAACTAGGGGGAGGGGAGAAGAGGGGTGGATGGGGACAGGGCCTTGGGGGGGGGGAGAGGCAGGGCAGGGGAAGTTCCAGCACTCGTGTCCAGCTTTTAATGATCACCACAGTGGCAACCAGGGCTGGGCAGGGAGGAGCTGGAGCCCCGTGGGGTCAGCGCTGGCTGTAGGGACAGGAGCTGGGGCTCTGGGGGGGGGGGGACGACACTCAAGGGTGAGAGACAATCATGGGGCAAGCTCAGGGCAAGCCCTATTGCCAGGTAGGCTGGTGCAGCTGCTTTGGAGCTCTGCCCCTCGCCCGATGCCATGGAGGTGCCATCTCAGCCTTCCCAGCACCAGGCAAGAAGCTCCACACTTGGGTGCCGCCCAACCAAGAGCCTGAGGGCAGCCAGGCCGGCAAGGAGGCACCTTCCGGCTGAGTCTAGCTTCCCGGGGCCTCCCACTGCACCAAGCAGAGCGCAGCCAAGAGGCAATGAGCCCCAACTCTGATTCGCAGCCCTGGCCTGCCCCTAACAGCAGCCTCCTTGGGTGGCTCCCCCCATCCCCCACTAACAACCCCCCTTCAGTGGCCTCCTTTCCTGACCACTCCTCACCCCTCACCCAAAGCTGGCTCATTCCCCACCCCTGCATGCTAACATCCCTATTGGAGCCTAGCTCCATCCCCCAGGCTGGGATATGGCCCTGCCAGGAGGGTAGCTTCCTTGTCACTGTGGCTGGAGAGACACAGAGCGCTGGCTGCTTCCCCACATGAAACCAGTTAGCAGAAGAGGACTGAGGTACTTCCATGAGAGCAGAGAACTCTGAAGTCCACATGTAACTTCAGAGACAAGCCATTCTCTAAAACAGGGGTTCTCAAACTGGGGGTTAGGACCCCTCAGGGGGTTGCAAGGTTATTACATGGGGGGGGGGGGGTCAGGAGCTGTCAGCCTCCACCCTAAACCCTGCTTTGCCTCCAGCATTTATAATGGTGTTAAATATATAAACAAGTGTTTTTAATTTATAAGGGGGGTTGCACTCAGAGGCTTGCTATGTGAAAGGGGTCACCAGTGCAATAGTTTGAGAACCGCTGT